ATCCCCTCCTCTCAATTTTTCCAGATTTCTTTCAAGAATCCTTCATCCAAGTAAGTCATATCTCCTTAACAATGTATTTCCTCAGTGTTTCTAGATTAAATACCTAGTTTTTTCCTTGACTTGATGAATCTTAGATGAACATTCATGAGTTCTACGATAAACACTCATGAATGTTCATTAAAGTTTATGAGTTTATGATGTCGGGGAGAATCTCCCCGAGCAGTGGTCATGATGTAGGGGACGATTTCCCTGAATAGTTGGGGTTGACTCGGGCTTTTTTCCTGTTTGACTGGATATCCCCAACGAAAGTGTAGTCCTTTTTAGTGTGTAGTCATGGGCTTGGGTCGAGGTTCGCTCCTCGACCGCTTCATCGCCCTTTCACTTGATCTGCGGTGGAAGGGTGAATTTGATAATGTCGAATTCATTGGTTTCACCTACTTTTTAGGTATAATGGCACACTAGGTTGGGGATGATGTTCTGCTCACCAACTATGAAGACAAAATCAATGTCGAGGAGGACCCCTTGGCCTGGGTCACACCTGAGCCTTGAAATAAAAGGTTGTGCTTTTTGCACGACGCAACAGACGCGTTCAACTGTCTGGAGGTTCGAGCTGAAGGGTCCCCCGCCAACTGGATTCTTCAAATTCCCTATTGCAACTGGAGGATCTGCTTGGACATATTCGGGAAAACGTTTTCCTATGTACGAGTTCGCATTTAAAGAGGCGGGGATGCGTTTATCCTTCAATGATTTTCAAGTGGGGTTTTTTCGGTGGCTTCAATTGGCGTCCTCTCAACTTCACCTAAACGTGCTGGCGTTCACGCGGCTTTTGAACTCGTCTGTTAGTATAATAGGATACGTTGCTCCTCTTCTTCTGTATCTTTCACCTTCAAAGGCAATCCATTGGAGAAGGGCAAGCGTGGGTGTCCTTCAAATAGTTTGGGAATCTTTTTAGGCCTTATCTACAATCTGTCCGACACTTCAAAGAGAGGTACTTTGTTGTGAAATCTTTGACGGACATGGCCATATACTCCCTATACACCTGCGTGGAGGAAGTGGAGGATGAGAGACCAGTTACCCGACTCATGGCTAGATTTCCGCTCGAGTGGCAATAGAAACACTTCGAGCAAAGGTCTGAGTATTATGCTGTAAAGCCTAAGGACTTGGACACTCAGGACCAGCTCTCCTATGAGAAGCCGACGGCCTATGTTAGGAGCTTCTCCCCCGCGAGGTATATGGACGTGAACAACAACCTCCTCTTCGACAATAACGGGGAGTACCTCTTAGTTAATAGGTTCATTAACACGAAGGCCCTGCTCGAATGCTCATCAGACAAGGAAGCCATGAGGCTTTTAGGTAGGGGACGCGATCACGATGATTATTTTTGTTTGTTTTTCATTCGGGGACGTGCCCATGTTATTATCCTTGTTTAACCCGTGACTGACAGTTACTTTTTGACTGCAGGTCAGATGGCGTCCCTCTCCGAGCGCTTATTGAAGTTGAGACTCAAGAACGTGTCCACCTCGGTGCCAAAGAATAGGGTCGCCCAACTCCAAGAGTAGGCCAAATTTGTTGCTTGTGCCAGCGATTCCCCCTCTTCATCGAAAACCCAGGTTCCCCCTGGAGAGCCCGCCCAGGTTCCCATCAGCGAGCCCACATCAAAGAGGAAATGCATGGAGGATGTCGAAGGTATCGTGCCTGAAGGTGACAAGGTGCCCACAGGGGTCTTCATGCTTCCTCCTTACTATTTAAATCGTGATCTTTTCAGTGGGGAGAGCTCCTTGGGCGTTCACGAGGAGGAGAGGGAGGCGATTCTGTGCAAGGATAAGGAGGTCCGCTGAAAGAATTTGGCGGAGGATGTGGCTGTTGTTATGAGGATGCTCGAGAAGGCCCTGACGCTAAATGACGAGGACGCGGGATCTCAGGCCTCCCTCGATGCAACATATGCTTAGATTCAGAAGATGAGGGCCAAGAATGAGAAATTAAAGTGCGACATCCTCAACCACGAGTTAAAGTTCGAGGCCCAAGTTCGACTTCTCAAGGATCTGAACAAGCTGCGTCCCCAACTGGAGGCCATGACCAAAGAGAACGAGCGTCTGGTTTCCCGAACAAAAGAGTTGGAAAGGATCACGACCCTAGCTGAAGAAGAGACCGACACAGAGAAGGGCATGGCGTCCAGAGCATAGCTAATTGCGCGCATCTGGGTGCTCGAGCAAGACGTCATGGACACCCTCGACTATGGTTTCATCACGGCCGTTGAGCAACTGAGGATTCTGAACCTGGGGTTCGAGCTTGTGGTCGAAGGAGAGGGACCGTTCAACCAAGTGATTGATGAGAAAATCTTCTATCCTCCCGAGAATAGTGACGGGGAGGAGGAGATTTGATTGTTTTTAGGGTATGCGTGCCCGTTCTCACTTTATTTTGGATTCGTGGCCGTCGTGCCTAATCTTGTAATTATTTAAACAACATCGACCTTCGTGGTCGGCATTTATGAATGCCTTCATTTTGTTTTTATGCTTGTTTATTTATAAATAATTTCTCGTCGTTGTTTTTGACTTGCTTATTGTATGAAAATTCGTATTGCTAAGGTTGGAGATTTGTGCTCGACCTTAGTTATGGTCGAAATATGTTAAATGTGTCGAGGAAATGGAGTAGGGATCCGACGAGCTCACGATTGCAGTCAGGATCTTAAGCTTGTAGCGTGAACTGTCCATCGCGAGCTGGGTATTTTTCTCGTTGGGGTACTTCGACAACAGAGCTCAATTGAGGTGTCCCCGTCGGGCTAAGGTTCCACTTGACAAATGAACAACAACATGCCAACGTTGATATTTGGAGGTCATGTTCGTACCTTAACATGCCTACATGGTCGAGCCCATCTCGTCTTCAGTTGGAGGGGACTGATTGACTGCCAATGCTCGTAGTAGGATAAGGACTTAGCTATAATATTCTTTCAGTTTTGTGGCATTCCATGGTCGAGGTAGTGGTTCTCCATTTAAATGCTCGAGGTAGTATGCCCCAGTACCCATAGCCTCGCGGACGCGGTATGGTCCTTCCCAGTTTGCGGCCAGCTTCCCTTCGCGGGAATCTTTCTGATTTCTAAGACTAGGCTGTCGATCTGGAATTCTGCATGAGATTGGCCATGTCGCCGTCGTTCCCATTGTTGTTGTTGTTGTTGCCCATGTGTTCGACGACATTGTTGTTGGGGTCGGCGAGGTGGGCGTTCAAGATGTTGTTGGCAGCTGGGTCGGCCATGACAATCAAGAATTTAGAGATGCTTTTGTGTTAGGTAAATGAAGACGAGGAAGCTAGTTTTCCACAGACGGCGCCACTGATCCTATCTAACAAGAGTGATCGTCAAGGCCTTACGTCGAGCTGAGGTTGAAAGCGAGATGGGGGATACCTGTAAGATACTTCGATGCCAAAGTAAGTTTCAGGGAGAATGTAAGCAAGTGTGAGTATAAGTATGAGAATGAATACTTGACCCTTTCAAATGAGAGGATATTTATAGCCCTCGGCACTGGGCCAAGGTCCCCATTGTTGGGCCACGATGAGGTCCAATAATAAAGACTGCCAGGGCTTACGTGTGTATGGAGTCCAACAAATGGACTTTCCTTTGATCAACTACTCCGTGAGAATAGGAGTTGGACCCGTGATTTTCGGAGGGAAGTTAAGATGACAGTGACGCAGACACGTGGGTCACGTTCTCCAATGGATGCATGAAGAGTTGCCTAACGGTCTCTAGCTTGGATTGCTTGTTTTTGGACCTTATAGAAGAGTGTTGGATTGAGCCTTCCAATTATAAAACAAGTGCAGACTCAATCCAAATCAATAAATTTATTATATTAATGTCAAAGTTGGCTATCCAAGGCCAACCTAATGTGGACTTAATTTAAAAATTAAAAAAAAAAAAACAGGTTGAATTAGCTTATTCTTTAGTTCTATTAGGCTATAGATTTAGTGGTCCAATTCCGCCTAAAACATAATAAATTATATTAAAAAATTAAAATCAATTTTTAGTTGACACACCTCTGATTGGTCCTGGTATCTCCCCATAATCTGTGATTTGATCATAATATCCTTTGATTTAAAGTATTTATCAGATTTTTTAAAAAATCAGACAATATAGACGGGGTATACTGGCTTTTTTTTTTTAATTCGATAAGAAACCGTTTTTATTTTTTTAATACATTATCTATAGATTTTTCAGTAGATTTTAAAATATATCTATTTTATCAGATTTTTAAAAGACCAGTATCTAATTTTATATATTTTTATAGAATTTTTCAAAAGATCAAATAATATATGTGGGGTATATAAGATTTTTTAAAATATCCTATGAAAAAACCAGTTTTTATAATATATTAAGTGTTTGACTTTTTACTTACCGAATTTATTGCAAAAATATGTTACCTGCAGATTTTTTCTATAAATTTTGGATTATATTTATTTTAAACATTTTCACCATATTTCTAAAAAACAGATCCGTCATTTTGTGCATTTTTATCAATTGTTTTTAAAATATCTAGTAATATATGTAACGGTGTATTGGATTTTTAAAAAATTCGATAAAATTCCTTTATTTATAATATTTAAGTGTTTGATTTTTTTAGTTATATAGTAAAAACTCTTTAATAGTATGAGGATCGGAGAAATTTATTAATTTAGAGAGTTATTAATTTATCGATAAATTAATAATTATTAATTTAAAGAGTTTTTAAGTAATTATACAGTACATATCAAACAAAAAGACAAATTAGTCTATGTGTTTTAGAATTACGTTGCAGCTAACCTTGAGACTCAATGTAAATTAGTAACTATTGTGTTCATATGTATTGAAAATCAATAATGACTTTTGTAGTACAGCAAATGTAAACAAGAGGAACAAATGTGTTCAATGTATTCTTAAGCAAGTTTGACATATATAAATTACATGAATGTGTTAGAGTATTCAAATCATATCTCATAAGACAGCTTCTCATCTAAAAGGTGTTGCAAAATTAACTATGTCAGACCAAATACGTAAGGAGTTGTGTGAGTACAAGAGAGATAATCCTACAAGCACACAAAAAGATTTGCAGAGATGGCTTGAGGGAAAATTTCAGTTGAAAGTTAGTCAAGGAACAATATCAAACACACTTAAGCGGTCAGATGACTATCTCTCTGCTGAAACAGAAAAGGGAAGAGCAGAGATCAAAAGACACAAACCAACAAAATATCCTGACATGGAGAAGGTTGTTTATGAGTGGTTTCTCCAACATCAAAAACGTGTGAATATCACAGGAGAATTAATTTTGCAGAAGGCAAGAGATACAATGAAACTCGTGTATCCTCATGATGATTCAAATTTTAACTTCTCTATAGGATGGCTTAGGAAATTCAAACACCGACATGGCATAAAGTCATTTCATCATTTTGGCGAGAGTGGGTTTGTTGATGTACAAGACATGGAGCAGAGATTGGTATCAATTCGGGAGAAAATTGATCAGTTCCCTATGAAAGATGTTTCCAATATGGATGAAACTGAGTTGTTTTATAGGCTACAAGCTGATCATTCATTGGCAACAAAATAACTTGAAGGAAGAAAGCAAGATAAAGAAAGGCTGACGGTAGTTATTTGTTGCAATGAAGATGACTCTGAAAAAATCCCTCTATGGATTATTGTGAAATATGCAAAGCCTCGTTGCTTCAAGAATGTCTACATGAATAGCTTGGATTTGTCAGTATCGAGCTAACAAAAAAGCATGGATGACTAGTGTGTTTTTTGATGAATATGTTCGTTTATTTGACCAAATGATGCATGGTAGAAGAGTTCTACTTGTGGTGGATAATTGTCCAGCACATCCAAGAAATATTGAAGGGCTAAGAAATGTTGAGTTGTTCTTCTTGCCACCCAACATGACATCAAAGATTCAACCTTGCGATGCTGGGATAATAAGAGCTTTCAAGATGCATTACCGTAAAAGGTTTTATCGCAAAATATTGGAAGGTTATGAGGTGGGACAATCTGATCTAGGGAAGATAAATGTCATTGATGCTATCAATTTGGCAATCCCAACTTGGACGATAGATGTTCGAAAAGAAACAATAGCGAATTTCTTCTGACACTATAAAATTCGATCAACTAGTGACCTTGCAAGAAATTTGGATAAATCCACTTTTGATGAAGAAACTTAAGACCTCGAGACTATGATCAATCAATGTGGCTATCGTAATAAGTTGGATATTGACAATCTAATGAACTACCCAGGTGAAAATGAAGCATGTTCGGAGGTTCAGAGTTTAGAAGATATTGTGGATACTATCATTGAGAATAATGCAGAGAATGACGACGAAGATGATACGGTGTCTTTGGAGCTTGTTACGCGAAAGGAATCAATTATAGCGTCGAACACTCTTCACAACTTTATGATACAATACAAAAATACAACACTTGAACTATTGGATACAATAAGAAAAATTAGAGATGAGCTCCAAATAGACTTGAACTTTAAAGGAAAAAAGACAATTATTGAATCATATTTCAATAGAGTGTAATATTTTTTTTCTTCAGTTTCTATGAATTATTAATTTATGATTTTCTTGGGACCGAAAATTATAAAGGGATCTTCCAAAAAATTATCATCTTATTATTTTATCGAGTTTTTCAATTTTTTACATTGGTCCAAGTCAGGACCGGACAAATTTATTATTTTAAAGAGTTTATTAATTTACCGAGTATTAATTTAAAGAATTTCTACGGTATAATTCAATGACAAAAATTTAATTTTTAAAGATAAACAAGTGAGATATCGTGGGTTCGAACTCGCAATTACGTAAATAATGGTTTTGTACATGTACCAATGGAATTGAGTTAATAGAATTAAATATTTGTTTTACTAGCATAATGTGTGGCGAAATTGCAATGAAAATACCTTACCTACAGATTTTTTTTTGCAAATTTTGGATTATATGTATTTTTATCGAATTTTGTTTCTATTGGTTTTTTAGTTATAACTATCAGATTTTTCGTCTTTTTTGGTTTTTTGATAGAATATTTTTAGAAAAAACAGTAAATTATAAGACTGGTGTAAAAATTGAGTAATATTTTTTACTATCAAAATATATGGGGTGTGTCAAGAGCAATTGGAAGGTATAAGATAAATTTTTTTAAGGTAGCTCACTGTTACAAATAATATATTCTATAATAAAACATTCACCTCGACCAATAAATAATCAAAGAGTAAATCATAGACACGTTATATTTTAATTTTTTATAAGAAAAAGATATTACTTAATCTCTCAATTGTGTTAATATTTGAGAGGAAAGGTTATGATCAACCCCTTCGAATTCTATTAATTACATTTAAGAGTTTTTTTATATGTATGAGGAAAGGTTTATCTAGCATCAGAGGATAAAAGTTATAGTTATTAGGGATGAAAATAGGTTGGGCCGAGTTAGGTTTTGTCAAGTCAAAAACTAAAGTCTAAGGCTAGCTTGTAATTTGTCATAGACTTATTTTTAAGAATGAATTTGACATTTTCTAAGGTCTGATTAGTCTGTTAGCCTATATAAAAGTCTATTATTTTAGACATATATAAATAAGTAATTTAAATAATATTTAAATAGACTAACAAACTAAAAAGTCAATGAGACTGAAAATTTCTTTGTGTTGATTTATTTTAATTTAACAATTAACATAAATTTTGTGAGATTATTTGTTTAAAAGGACTTGTGAAAACAACTTATAACATTGTTTATAAAGTATTTTCATCTTATTTTCACAATTTCTCCAAAATAATTAAGTTTTATTTATGTATTTTGATTCAAAATACAAAACATAATATAATGATAATAAAAAAATTATTCATATTTATTTATATAGACCGTTAGACCCCCAAAGACTTTTTCATGGCCTGAAGTCTAACATTTTTAACTATATATATATATATATATATATATATATATATATATATATATATATATATATATATATATATATATATATATATATATATATATATATATATATATATATATATATATATATATATATATATATATATATATATATATATATATATATATATATATATATATATATATATATATATATATATATATATATACTCAAAATTGACTTCAAATGCATGATCTCTTGTAGAATTGGAAGAGATAATGTATTATAGGGTCGGATTAAGGGCCAAAGAGCCCAAACTAAAGTTTTAGATTTCAAAATTTCTAATTAAAAGATATCTCAATTTTTTATATTTAATTATGAATATATAAACAACAAGTTATTTCTCATAATAGAGTAGGTAAAAGCAAAACCCCGTTTTCAAATTTATTTTAAAAGCCTCTAAACTAGTCGGGGCAACTCTATTTTACATAATATAACTACCAATTTCAATATAAATCAATTTTGCGAGATTAAAAAAAAAGAAAAAAATTTAAAAGAAAAAAAATATAAGAATCAAAACAAAACAAAATAACAAAATTACATGGACTAAAAAATAATATAATTGTAGAGAGAAATTACGTATTTAAACCAATTAAAATGTTATAGAAGAAGAATGGATAAGAATTACAAAAATAAAAAACAATTAAAAATAAGATAATTGGAAGAAAACATCTATTGTAATATATAAAAACTAATTACCATAAAAAATATTTAACTATCCAAACTAAATCAGTTTTAAGAATATTTTTCATGTTCCTTATTATAAGTTATTTTAACTACTAGCCTTTAATTAACCTAAAAACCTAATTCAATTAAATTTAAACCATATATTAATAATTTCATTTACTGTAGAATATATATTAACGTATTGAAAAAATCAAATTTATTATTGTCTGCCTCCAAAACTTGGAAACGTACAAAATTGTTGCTTTTGAAAGAAAATTTGAATAAATCTTGGAAATCGATTCAACTCTTCACATTCCTCCAATATTCATTCAAATAATTTATTTAAGCAGGTGAATGTAATCAATATTTTCAGTAACGTTTTTGCAGTCCCTTCATTCATCCTCCCTAGTGATATCGGTATGCTTCATCTTTCCTGAAATCTTCTCCACAATTTGAAATATGCATACTATTTAATTCTTTTCACTAAATCCTAAATTAGAATAATTATTTACATACTGACTTTTTATCTACCTGCCTTATAAACGCTTCAATTTCTCTCTAAACCCTATAAGATTCGTAACAATCCCATCAGTAAGACCATTCTTCTACATCGCAATAATATTTCATCTTTTCCAATTCTTCTGGTTTCCTCTCATTAGAATAAACTTAGAAACAAAAAAAAAAACATTATTTCTCTCTGAAACTTCAACAACCTTTCACAATCTCCATCCTCTACAACACATCAACATCATTACATCTTCAATAATATCTTTGTAATCTTTATCTGTGTTAACTTGCTACAACCATCATCTGCTTTAATCATCATCAACTATGCACTCACTCTGCAGCATTCAAAAACATCATCTATGCATTCAAAAACATAAATAAATTATAATAGTGAGACAGACCTCCGACTTGAGCTTAAGATCCAGTCCACACTAAACTACATAAACCTTGTCAGTCCACCCACTCATCCATAAACCCTAAGTTACTTAAAAATTGAAAATTAAAATCTGAATTAGGGTTCCTTAGGAGTTTCGAGTTCCAGATCTTAATTTCTATTAGATTTTGTTTCGTTTTTTTCTTCTATTTTCGTGTTTTATGTTTTCCATGTTGAATCTTGTGTGATGACAATACCATTGTGGACTACAGTTTTTGATCTAGGAATCTTCACCTAGAGTTTGATTACAAACCCTTGGTTGTCTGAGCACACTTTATTTTCCTTATTTCATTGTATTTATGAATTTTTTTCTTTTGTATTTTTTGTTATGTTTTTTAATTTTATAATTTTGATGATAATATACCTATATTTTAGCATATTTCAAGGTTATAATTGTCATTTTGATATTATAATTTCCTGATTATAATTGTCATTTTGATATTATAATTTCATCATTACTTCCTAAACATTTAATATTACGTGCCCTACATTAACCATCATAATATTAGGGGTTGTTGTCATAATTACATTTAATTTTATCTTTAAGATGGAAAATAGAGATATGTTGAATGAAATCATTTAACCATCTTTACGTATTCCAACTGATTTCTCTATATTTCAAGAATTCAAAATAAATAAGCAACAACACCATCTCTTCGTTCCAAAACATGACAAAGTAAAAAAGGGTTAGAAATTTATTTACTGTCAAATCGAATAGCAGAAGAAGCTTGGTCAGGTTTTGAGTTTCACTCCAATCCATTTTCTTTAACGTATTTCAGACATTGCAACATATAATTTTTTTTAATGATATTTTATGTTGTTTGATTACATAATTGATTGTTTTGTAGGTTTTCTTTTTATGGCTTTTAGGTTTTACTACAGGCTGCTATGAGTACTTTGTATATAATTTTTTGAAGATAATTCTCAAAGTGAAATCTAGTTAGATAGTGTTAGTGCGTGAGGTACTTTTAGTGAGGAGGGAAAGAGAGAATGATAAAGGAAATAAGGATTTATATTATTAAATTGT